GATTCTGTGATTCTGTGATTCTGTGAAAAACCCCCATCTGGCCTGGGCTGACCCTGGGGATGGGCGCAGGGAGGGAGCAGGGCCTTGCACCCACACCCCCGCCTGTGTCTGGCAGGGAAGAACCCCACTGACGAGTACCTGGAGGGCATGATGAGTGAGGCGCCGGGGCCCATCAACTTCACCATGTTCCTCACCATGTTTGGGGAGAAGCTGAACGGCACTGACCCGGAGGATGTCATCCGCAATGCCTTCGCCTGCTTCGACGAGGAGGCCTCAGGTATGGCACTGCCCGCACGACCCCGCGCCACCCGCCCCGACTCTTTACCCCTTGGGGATGGTCCCCAGGCTGCTCCAGACTGGGGGAGCTGGGCTGGGTGTCTTCAGGAGAGGCGGGGAAGCTCCTGCCACCCAGCCCTCCCGCAGCATCCCCTGCTAACGCCACCCCCTGGCACCCCTGCAGGCTTCATCCACGAGGACCACCTGCGTGAGCTGCTGACCACCATGGGAGACAGGTTCACCGACGAGGAGGTGGACGAGATGTACCGCGAGGCACCCATCGACAAGAAGGGCAACTTCAACTACGTGGAGTTCACTCGCATCCTGAAGCACGGAGCCAAGGACAAAGATGATTAAAGCCCGGGGCTGCTGCCCCGTTCTGCCTCCTGTGCACACCCCCTGCCCCGCGGCCCCCCTTGCTGCCCCACAGCCAGTTTCCCCCATGGGAAACACCTCCTAGGAGCAGCATCCCACATCGGATCATGCTTGTCGTCACTATGCCGCTGTGTGCCCATCCATCAGCCACAGACCTCCCCTCCCGTTGCCTCTCCCACCCATAGGTGCACCCAGCTGGGACCCCCAGGCTGGCTGAGACCCCCCGCAAGCAGCTGTTGCCCCCCTTGAAGCCACCATGCCACTGGTTCCTGGGGCCGGGGTGAGCATCACGGGTGAGCGTTGACCTGTGGGGATTTTGGCCTGAGCCCGAGCGATCCCTGTCTCAGGGCCGTATCCCAGACAGAAAGCATCTCCCCACTTTCCTCCCACAATCCCTTCCTTCATGAAAGAAACCCCACTTGTTTTCCTCCTCCCTGGCTGTTTTATGGCTTTAGAGCCCGTGATCTGAGGGGTTTGGGATGCCAAAGTGGTGGATAAAACCTGATGGGTGTGATACAGAGCTGTGCTGTGGGGGACTCCTTTGTGGACCTGTGCCGTGCTGTGCCGTGCGGGTCCAGGGGGAAGGTTTGGCACCTCACCACCTCACTGCAGTTGCCAGCCAGGGCCCCTTCCAGTGGTTTGGAAGCCAAATTGCTCTCAACCAGCGTAAAATCAGCTTGAGTGCCGTTTTCTGCCTTTGCCGACAGGACGAGGGTCGCTGTGCTCTGCCCCTGTGTCGGGGTGGGCAGGTGGGGGGGTGCGATACGTGTGGCCACACTCCCCTCTTCAGCTGGTTTGGGGTCCCAGGGGCTTGGTCACCCCTGAGCGGGCAGGGGTGGGGGTAGAGGACCAGGAGGGCAGGAAATCGGATGGGGGGTTGTCCCCTTGGTTTGGTTATTTATCGTCACCCTGGCAAAGGTGTGGGGGCTCCTGTGTTGCAAAGCTACTGTCTTAAGCGCAGCTCGAAGTCAGCCCATGTCCCTGCCCCGGAAGGATGAGTTTCCTGCATTTCTTTATTTAAAATGGGGAAAAAGTGATGACAAACCCACAGAACCTGGTGAGGGCTCTGCAGGTGCTGGAGATGCTCCCGGTGTTCTGGGAAAGCTCGGACAGGGTCTGCGGGAGCCCTGTAGGTGCGTCCTGCTGGGATCGGAGGGGTCAGCAGCCCTGTCTGTGTTCAGGGACCCGCCAGGCCCCAGTGATGCTCTGGCCTGGGAGGTGACCCACAGCTGGAAAGCTTCTCCTTGGTTCTCAGTGCTTCTATTTCCCAGGTGCCCGAGGAAAGATGAACTGAATTATCAGGAGGACAGAGATGGGAGAGGCTGAGCATGTGCTCTCCTGGGGAGCTCCCAAGCATGGTGCCCCAGAGCAGCTCACCTCTGGGCTGGAAGGTGCCACGCTCCTCCCCTCACTCCCTGCTGTACCAGGGAAAAAAACACCACTTCTCCCAGTTCCAGAGCAAAGTGCCAGGCCTGGAGGCTGCTGGAGGGCAGGATGGTTTTTAAAAAGCCCTCTTCCCTGAGCCGCACGCCAAAGTGAACATCTCACAGATGTCGCTTTGAGGCAGATGGGGCTGATGCTGGAGGTGAACCGAGTGGCCTGGGAAAGGGCCCCCAGCTTCTGCAAGGTCTCTGCCACGCCTTCTGGAGGCATCCAGGAGTGATGTTCAGCCCTGCTGACCCCAAAGGACCAGCCCAGTTTCCCCCAGTGCTGGCAGTGGGATGGACTGAGTGGCTGGGGCGCAACCGGGGTGGCCCCCACCAGGGGCTTCCAGAAGCTACTGGAGCTGCTGTGTCTGAGCTGGCACAGCCGTGGTTGCACCCGCAGGACTCTCAGGAGAGGGCATCCCTCAACCCTGATGCCAGCAAAGCAGGGGAACTTTGTTAGTGGACACTGGGGTCCGTTTGGGAAGATAAAATATGGCCCTTGCAAAGGGGAGCCCTGCCTCCACATCCTGGAGCTCTTTGCAGTAGGTGATGGAAAGTGGAGCACATGGGGAAGATGAACCCTGAGTTCACGGGTGAGACAACAGGCTCCGAGTGCCCTGAGACAGCCCCAGGGAAAGGTCAGAGCTCAGTGTCAAAATCAAGGGAAAAAAAGAGAAAGAAAATAACATGCTGGGAATTACTAGGAAAAGAAAGGAGGTTAAAAGAGAGACCACGGTTTGGCCATTGCCTAGGTCCTTCTATTGCCCACAGCTTGAATATCAAAAAGAGACAGTGCCCAAGTGGAAGCTTCCTGAGAAGGGTAAGTGGGAGGTTTGGCCATGAGGGCCCCGGGCACTGAGCTCTCTGGGCTGGCACGGAGATGTGGGAGTAGGGAGGTGGTGTGGGGATGGTGCTGCTTCCCACCGCTCCCGGGCCGTGCGTGGGCATCCCCAGCCTGTGGCCAGGAGCATCTCTCCCATGGGCTCTGTTCTCACTCTCTTTCTCTCACCCTGCTTCCAGCCACGGTGGGAAACTGGACCTCAGAAGACGGGCCAGTTTAGCCAGCAATGCTCAGAGCCTCTTCTGCACGTCAGTACCTTTTCCCAGTCCTGGTACTGAGCCCCTTCCCCTGGTTTTACTCGTCTTCCCAGGGGACAGAGGGCAGCCTTCCGGATGGCATCGGCTCATGTTGTCCATCAGCTGGTGCTCTTGGGGGGCTCTTGGTGCCACCAGCACGAGCAGATGGGGCAGTTCTCCCGTGCTGTCAACTGCGCGTTCCCCAAAACGCTTCATCCAGAGAGTGAGAAATGGCAGCAACCCCCCAAATTGTTTGGGCCCCTGTGAACCTCATGAAGCCCAACCGGGCTAAGCGCAAGGTCCTGCACATGGGTTAGGGCAGCACCCTGTACCAGCACAGACTGGGGATGGGTGGGTTGAGGACTTGGGGCTGCCGGTGGGTGACAACTCGAATGTGAGCTGGCAAGGTGTGCTTGCAGCCCAGAAATCCAAGCATATCCTGGGCTGCACCACAAGAACCATGGCCTAGGTTGACCTAACCTGACTCAGTCACTTCAAAGGTATGAAACAGCACAAAAATAAACCGAGACATTTCATTTCAGAAGGGTTTGCGTGGGACAGGGGGGAGCACCGAGAAAATAACCTTCACTTCGGGCGAATCTAAAAGAGCTGCTCCCAGTGAAAAGGCGTTTCCTGATGTTCAGGGCAGGGAGAGGTGGAGGGGCTGTGGCGCCCAAGCGTGGGGCACTGGGGCTGGATTTGGGCAGAGCCGCACGGCGCCGGAGGTGGCAGCTCGTGCTATGGGTGATGGGATGAGGTCTGCGCCGGGGGGACAGCTGGACACTGGGTGTTTCCACGACACCGCTGTTCCCAGTTGCTGCCCAGTACACACCAGCCCTTACCGGCACTGGAACACAACTGTGGGTCTCCTCACTGTGATGTGGCCATCGCTCTCAAACCGTTAAACCTGTCTTTAAAGCTCTGTGGGAGAAGGGTGAAGGAGCGCACCAGCCCAAGGCTCGCTCTCCAATTGTTTCCCTCCTAATTAACACCACCAGGATGCCAGCCCAAGGCCACAGAGCCTTGGTTTTTGCAGAGCAAAGGCAGACTCTTAAGCACTAAGCAAGCCCTAATAACAGTGCACCCAGGACCAGTCCTACTGGGGGAATCCCACTCTGCGGCGAGGCCAGCGGCCCTGAGCACGGAGCAGGCCCCACCGCTGGAGCCAGGTCCCAAGGACGGGACTGGAGCCAACAGCCTGCACGGCCAACCACAAATCCAATTTTCCTTGCCAAAAATCCAGATTTAATATCAGAGGGTGAGCAAAGGGTGGAGCAGGTCCAGCCTGGGACAGGTCAGGCCCTTGGAGGCTGCCTGGGGTATCCAGCATCCCCCATCGGCTCTTGCTGGCTGATTGTTTTCCAAATTGCTGAAGTTTAATGGCATTACCATGTCAATGGGCCTGGACAGACTTTTCGGGGCTTGGCTGTGGGGGACAGCCTGGACCAGGGGAGCAGCCAGGGGGATGACACACGGCCCCTGCCCTGGCCTCTACCCCACAAGGCCTCGAATTCCCCATAGCTGGAACCTCCCGGCTCCTGCTCCAGGCTCTGCCCAGGGTTTCAGGCTCCCCAGATGCTGCACTCCGGCACCCAGTGCAGGAACTTCTCCAAAGCTGCTCGCATGCAGACCAGTTCACTGCCCAGGTGGCTCAGTGAGGCAGAAGACGAATTCAGGCTTTTCTAAAGGGTGGGAGCCAAGGCAGACGGCTCAGAAGGACGCGGCGGCTGACACCAATGGGGGGTGGCTGGAGGGCTGAGGTGGCACCCACCAGAATGGCCTGAGCAGGAGCGAGCCAAGCGAGAGGGCTGGGGCAGGGCTGCACCGCACTGGGCAGCAGGCGTGAGCTGCTCCCAGTCCGCCTGGGCTGTGGGTCACCAGCCCGAACCGCGCTTGCATTAACAGAGCAGTTTGGAGACTGAGTTTCACTCAGGACACTGAAGATTTAACAGCAACTAAACAAATGCTTTAACGACGTTTTTTTGTTCTGATTGAATCCTTTATTGCATCATGCAATCTACCTTGCACAGACGAAAAACCTACCATCAGCTTTTTTGCGGCCTTTCTCAACGCCCAGATATCCATCTTTCTCCCTGCAAGCAGAAAAGAGGGAAAGGAGAAGAAAAGAGGGAAAGGAAGGTTGCTGCAGCACGGTCTGCAAAGGTGGTGGGGCCTGGGAGGGAAGAGCTGCTCCATGGCTGGCTCCTGTGTCAGGCTGCTGTCAAACACCAGCTGCAAAAAAGCTCTGGTGGAGAAAAACGGGGCAGGACCTGGTGACCCTTGGGGCTGCTGTGCCCCACGAGCACACAGGTCCCTGGGAGGACGTGCACACAGGTGCTGTGCTCGGCTTGGCAAGGATGAGCATGGACGTCCCCAAGATGGGGAGGGACATCCCGAAGAGGACATGCCCAAAAGGGGGGTCTCTCTGCTGGCACCCCACGGGACAGGATCATCTTGGCTTCCATTGCAGGGGCTGGAAGGGATCAGACTGCGTTT